GTCACTTAAGGTCAAAAGTGTAATGTAATGAAATAATAATACTTCGTTACAGAACTTAACATATTTTTTGGAGTATCTGTACTTTACTTGAGTTTTTATATTTCAACCAACTTTTACTTTTGGTCCACTACATTTCCTAATTAAAATGTATACTTTTACACCAATACATTTCCCCGAAGCATATTCGTTACTTACTACAAAATAGTCAGAAGTCAGAAGAACAGAGACTGCAGGAAAATCAGGTTTGACGAATCAGTTAGTCACCTAAAAACACCTTTGCTCTTGTGCAAACAAGTGCACGCACAACCGCAGATGATTTCATTTTCCACTCAAGTCGAGGCTGCGTGTGCGATCAAAAATATCTTCATTTGTGTTCTGAAGCTGAACGAAGGTCATTGTAATTAATGACAGCATTTTCATTTCTGGGTGAACTATCCCTCTAAGGAATTTTTATTATTTTATTATTTATTTATTAATTTTTATCACGGTCACAGGTCAAACCTTAGGAATCAGTCTCAAGGTGGGTGAAGGGCAGAAACTGCATTTTGAACAATAGGAAGTCCTGTCCTTCCCGGGCTTTGTACCGAAGGTCTTCTTCTTGCCCTCTAAGAGGTGTCTGGCTATTGTCCTGGCATCTTTATCTCATGGCGCTTGACAGTTTGCTTATGTTAGTCCCCCAAAATCCAGTCAAAAACCTTTGTCCACTAAAGTGGGCCCTGGAATGTGCTGTCCACTACAAAGGCAAAAGCCTCCATTTTTCAATGGTGGATTTAAGGCTCTTTATTGCAGCCATAAAATTAAGTTTCAATATATCTTTTGGATCTAAGGGAATAACCAATCCTAAGTAAGTGAAATGATCATGAACAATTTTAAAAGGGAGGGACCCCTTTAAAAAGCTGTTGAAAAGTTATTGCCAAGGGGAACAAATATACTTTTATTCCAGTTACCTGAATGCCTGAAAAAAGAACCAAAATGTTTTATGTGAATGTAACATATAGATGAAACACTTATTTTGTGTAGTGAAAAGGATACTTTGTGATTGTGTATATAATGTACAGAGACAATTGAAATAAATGCTTACATTTTTTAAACCACTTGTTGTACACTTGAACCCACTAGCGTATGAAAGATGGGTTCAAGTGTACAAATGGTAACTAAATCCATTTTTAATACAGAGATAGTATGTTAAAAGCACATTTAATTCATATTCATGGTGTCCCAAAATAGCACAGTTGAGTACACTTAAAGTCACCAAGAAATCAAAATTGAAAATTCTTATTTTTAATGGAACACTGTAGTGTTTATTATAAATAATTTATCCGTGCACTTCATTATTTTTTAAAAATTAATGTGCCCTCCTAATCTTGAATCAAAAACGTTAACCTCCCCTCCCCCTCAAAACGACTCATCTTCTCTTTCGGTCACGAGCTATGGCGCAAGTGCGGAGCTAGTGACGTGAGGGGTAAATGCTGGGATAAACAACAGGGGAAAAGCTGAAGCTGATGCTTCACTTTATAGCACTGACACCAGTCATGAGGGAGTACATTACCCCTAAACATTGAAAAGATATTAGGATATTACGTCAACATTACTCATATTGGAAGTGCACTTGTTTTTCAACTGGGAATAAAAACAATTTAGTTCAGTTGGACAACATCTGCTCTGCTCTGCTCCATACAGCGTGCGCTGCAGAGCCGCAGCACAGTGCAGCAGGAGTCAGTTTTCTTGGCAAAAACATGCAAGCACTGTCACTGACTGCCAATTTAGTTTTCATGTTCTTTTTGTTTTCATTTTGAAAAGCCTGTTTTCTGTGCTGTTTACCTAACGTTAGGCTATGCTACGAAGGCCTAGGGAGCACCGGGACTTGCCGGTCACCTATAATATATATATTTTTTTGTTATAATAGCAGTCAATGGTAACCAGAATGGTTTGGTTACCAACAATCTTCAAAATTTCTTTCACAGTACAGAGAATTTAATGGCAGTAAATTTACTAGCTTAAAATCAGTGCTTTACTGTCAAGTGCATTTCTATGTGACAACAATTGCAGTACATTCAATAATATCTATCATTATTAATTAATTAATTAATTAATTTACTCCCAGGCAAAATTTTAGCCCCAGTCCAGCCCTGTTCCACAGTGTTTGCTAAACTTTCTGTAAATTATTAGTTGATAGCCTATAGTCTTATTCGTTTTTGTTAATAAACATTATATAAGCTAGTTTGTCATTGTACTGTTTTATTGTTGTTGTGCTTTTCATTAAGAATATTAATGAATCCATTTTGAAGCATTAATTTTAGTCTTAGAAAGTGAAAGGTGTAAAGATGTAACCGCAACAGGAAATTATCTTTTCTTGTAAAACATGACACCAAGATCAAGAATTCGAAAGCAAAAGTGAAAGCATCCAAAACCCCCATAATGGGTGTTACTCCAATACCGGTTCTGTCACAACTTTATTGGTGTGAAAATGTCCACACTGTGACATCCCTAACACATACTATCTGTAAAATGAAGTATCTGGATTATGCAGCAAGTCCACCTCTGAATGGCTCAACAAAAAAAAAGAAAGAAAGAAAGAAAGAAAGAAAAGAAAAGAAAAGAAAGAAAAATTTAAGTTTTGAAGTGTCCTTGTAAAAGTCCTCACTCAAACCCAATTGAGATGCTGTGGCAGAACCTTTAACGTGCAGTTGATGCTTATACCCTCCAATGTAGCTGAACTAAAGTAGTTCTGCAAAGAAAAGTGGGCCAAAATTCCAGTACCACACTGCTGTGAAAGACTGATCTCCAGGTATCTGAAGCATTCGGTTGCAGATATTGCTGCTAAAGGTGGAAATTAGTTTTTTACATGGATGATAGGTGTTGATAAAATAAAACCTGTATGCAATTAGTCAGGTGGCCTTTGTTTTATGGTGTATTTTGCTTTAAAATCTAAAACTATTTAGTATGATATAACCAGACGAAATCAGGATGTGGCAAATACATTTTCACAGCACTGTTATTGTGACATTTTTATTTCATATGAGACAATCGCTTAAACTTGCTGCAACTGCATCCGACACTTCAAATGAACCACAAACATATCCTGTGTGAATATAAGAACAACAGCATCACGGTTGAATTTTCACATTTACTATAGTACACTTGTATAACAGCTGACTTTTTCATAGATCTAAATCAAACAGATTGCAGAATCTAAAAGCCCTTACAAAAATGTTTAAAAAGTTAAAGTTTGGGAGGAAGAAAAAAACAGTCAGGAATACAGATGAGCAGTATCGTCTAGTGGAAGACATACCAACACAGCACACAGAGACCACATATGGTAAGACAATAATTAGTCATTTTGGTAGCACTCTACAGTAAGGTCCCATTGTAAACGTTAATGTTAGCTAACACGAACTAACAATGAACGATGCATTTGTACAATATTTATGAATCTTTGTTAACATTAGTTAATAACAACATGGATTACAATTCATTAGTTAGTTCATGTTAGCTCAGGTCCATGAAATAATATTAACAGATACAACTTTTTGTTGTTAGTTTATGTTAACTAGTGTAGTTGATAATGTTAACAAATGGAACCTTATGTGTTAGCGTTATGTTTCAATAATTGAGTAAAATAAGACATTTTTGGGGGGTAAAATTAAAATCTTATCAGCAAAAAAAAAAAGTATTGTTTCACATTTGAGTTTAAAATTTAAAAAGTAATTCATGCACATGCATTCAGCAGGAGAACAAGAAAGCACAGTCGACTCTGGGATGCCATGTTGTTCAGCTGTTGAAGTGAATGGCGAGACAGGGCTTCATATTCTCAGAACGATTCTGAGCAA